AGCTGTAAGTACCTGCTCCCATATATCAAACACCACGAGAGACGCTTCTTCTCCATCAACTATAATCGATCTGTCGTACGTATTTCCTACGGAAAATTAAAAACATAAAAACGAGTTCAGCAAGAGCAGCCGTCCTCCTCCATCCCTGCCGGCGGCCGAAGGGGAGGCTCCGAGCCGGGGCTCCCCGGCCCCTCCGAGCGCGCCGTGCCCTCACCGGCCTCCTCGGCGTCCGCGCAGTCCTCCACGCCGCCGAAGATGCGCGCCAGGCTGGTCTTGCCGACGCCGTGCTCGCCCAGCAGGATCACCTTGTAGAGGCTGCCGTCCGAGTCGCTGCCCGAGGAGATGACGGAGTCGGAGGAGTCGGAGGCCCAGCTCTGGCGGTGCTCGCCGCCGGGGCTGTACGAGGTGCAGCGCACCAAGCCCGACAGCTCGTCGGGCGGCAGCGGCCGCAGGTCGCGCTCGTCCACGGGCATGCTGCGGCGGTGCAGGTGCTGCTGCGCCGCGAACGGCGTGCTGCCGCGCCGCTTGTCGCCGCGGTTCAGAGTCATCGGGCTGCGGGCAGGGCACGGCCGTCAGCGCCCGCTGCCCCGCACAGCCCCGGCCCCCGCTCCTCACAGCCCCGGTCCCCGCATAGCTCCTGTCCCGCACAGCCCAGCCTCGAACAGCCCCGGCCCCGGTTCCTCACAGCCCCGGTCCCTGCATAGCTCCTGTCCCCGCACAGCCCAGCCTCGAACAGCCCCGGTCCCTGCACAGCCCCGGCCCCCGTTCCGCACAGCTCCTGTCCCGCACAGCCCCGGCTCCGCACAGCCCCGGCCCCTGTTCCTCACAGCCCCTGTCCCCTGTTCCTCACAGCCCCTGTTCCTCACAGCCCCTGTCCCCGCACAGCCCCGGTCCCGCAGCCGCGCTTACCTCGGGGCGCTGCGCGGAGCGAGGGCGCGGTGAGGGTTCGGTGAGGGTTCGGTGAGGGATTCCCCGGTAGCAGCCGCGGGAGCTCCCCGAGCTCTGCTGCCGCCACCGCTCCCCGCGCCGCCCTTTATAGCCGGCGAGGCGCGGGCCCCTCCCCGCCGTTGGCCGGCGGGGCGGGGGCCCCCCCCCGCCGTGACGCTCGGCGGGCGCTCCGCCAGCGCATCCCCGGCAGCTCCGCCGCGCTGCGCGGGGGCGGCGGCGGCGCGGGGAGCCCGGGAGGAGGCGGGAGCCCCCCGGGGGCGGGGGAGGCACGATCCGCTCCGCTCCGCTCCGCTGTCAGCGCGGGGGGAGGCGAGGGCCGGCCCCGGGGGGCGGCTGTGCAAACCGCGGCGCTGCCGGGCTCGGGCTCACCGCCCTGCCCTGCCCGGCCCTGCCCTGCCCTGCCCGCTGCCCCCGTGCAATGCCCGCGCCATTTGCTGTGTGTGTCCCTCGTGTCCCCCAGCCCGTGTGAGGGCGCACGGAGCGCACCGGGAGCTTCCCCCGGCGCTGTCACGGCGCGGGAGCTGGGGCGGCTCGGGCAGTTCGGGGCAATACCCGCGCTCTCCGCATCCCCGAGCCGGCTTTCCCCGGCGCTGGGAGCGGGGGTCACGCACACACGGCCCCACGCGCGGGGTGAGCGCTTTGGGAGGCCAGCAGCATCATAAAGGTCAAACTCTCCTCTCGCTTTCACCTGAGCAGCAAAGCGAGACAGTGAAAGCCTTATCTCATGAGCAGCACAGTCATGCGCATGTGATCGGGCGAAGAAAGGACTCAGCAGATAACTATACTGGCCTCCTGCATGGCTCACCCAGCGCCGTGTATACAGTTTGCTGTTTACCTAGCAACCGAAACGTGTCAGACACTGCACGGCCAAAATAGCCCCGGCCCTGCTCCCGAAAGATTACAGCCCCAGCAGAGCGGGAAAGTCCCGGCGACCCTGGACAGCAACGGCTGCCACCAAATCCGTGTCAGCTTTAGGTTTCCAAATCAGCGGCAGAAACAAGGTTAAAGAAGGCAAGAGGTGATGGAAATCAAGTTAGAGATGTAGGGAATAAAGTAAGGGAAAGAAAACTCTGTGGGATGGGGCTAAGTGGGTGAATATCCTGCTGTTTTCAGGAGCCAATTATAATTCTCCAGTCCACACTTTTGGGGTGGTTTTGGCCGCTTCTCGCTGATAAGCTGCAGTTAGGAGTGTTAATGTGGTAGTTAAAGATCACCAAGTGCTTGTAGCAAGTTGTCCCTGCCTGTCTCACAAAACAGCAACCAAAATAGCCTTGTCAGTTCAAACAGACAGAGTTTGGTGGCAAAACGTGCGTGCTTCAGCTAACTGAACTGAGTTAGAAACCTCTGGCTAGCGTTTGGAACCATATGTTAAATAAATTATGGGTAGCATTGGAACTACACTGTGGTTGCTTCAGCTGGATAAACTGGAATCTGCCAAACCACGTTTTCATTCGGAATTTATAGACAATTAATTTTGCAAATACTCTTCTAGATATGGCTGGACTTCAGCTGGCTTCCTTAAAATTTGGGGTTTTCCTGCCTAACATTGTCACCTGAAACTATTCTCAGGGAGTTTTTATATATTTTGCACCAGACTTTGTTGCATACCTTGACTGTGTGTCAGGGTCACACTTTGTAAGACAACAAATGAACTGGGGCTATTTTTAATTTTTTTTCTGCTTGAAAAAAGAGAAAAATGAGAAGCAACAGAACCAAAGAGAGAGTGCCACTTCTGTGCCACATGGAGCACTACTGGACTGGAAACACACTAAAAATGGGAATTTCATTGACACAACTTAAAGAAGCTGCATTTTATCCCAAGCCTTTTGCTGATGAGAATTGTGGGTATTTTAATGATGTAAATGTGAGATAGATCATTTGCAGGAAAACTATCAGGAAACGCATATGTCCAAAAGATAAATAAAAACCTTCAGTGTTTCAGTAGGAAAAAGGACTGAAAATAAAATTATACCCTGTAGAAATCATACAGAAAATTCAGGACTCCATGGCAAACACTGGGTATTTTGCCAGCACCCAAGCACAAGTAATGAATTAACTTGGGTTACAGAATACCACCATGGTCACAGGATCCTGCCCAGGACCTGGAGCTGGGTTCTTGGAGCGTCCTTTACTGGAAAGTGAGATGGCCTTGGATTGTGCTCGTTCCTGGAGGGATGAGCAGCTCGGTGCCAAGGCTGTCCCTGCTCCCCTCTGCCTGGGGGATCACGGGGGTCACCAGCTGGGTCACCTCCTGTGATCTTCATAGGCCCAGCTATTCTGTGAAGCTGGAAGGAATTAGCTGATAATTCAGGTTAATCACTTGACAAACAGAACACATCTCTTCACATAGTATGCAGTTCTGTTTGCTGGCAATTATTGCTGTACCTTTCCCGTTTGCTGGTAATTATTGTATTTTCATGTATACATCACTGTGGCACCTCCTGATTTCAGTGAGGTGCATATGAGTCCACAGGCTTCAAATGGTGATCTTCCAGCTTCTTTGAAGGACTTTAGGATCATCTCCTTCTCACCTGCCCTCCATTTCCACTTCTGTGTGACGATGATTCTAACAGATACATGAGCTGGAATTTATTTCTATTTAAAAGAGATTTTCATGCCTTGCTTTTTCTCCCCTTATTTTCTATTGTTCTAGCTTCTACTTTTCTCTTTAAAAAGGGATTACATTTTTTTTCATTTTCATTTCATCTTTGCATGATTTCAATTTTCCTCATTTCATAGACTTTCCACTTAAGGTGCCTTTTTTTTGCATTTCGCTGTTGCAGTATACCCAGTTTCTTTTTTTTCCTGTTATCTCTTTCCTGTTCTATTCTTTCTCTGTTTCTTTTCCCTCTCACTTTTCCTCAGGCTTTTGAGAAGTGCCAATGTTCATTTCTAGTGCACTCTCTCAGCCTGAGTACATTTCATGGAAAATGTAAAACATGCAGTTTGATCCTGTTTTTCCAGTTATGTGTTCCTGGGGTAACAAAGCCAAAGGAGTTCCTTTATTCTGTAGTAGGTGCAGTGGGCATTTCATGGTCTAAATGACAAGCACAGACTTTGCAGGGGCTACAGTGAAAAGCTAAGTTAAACTAAACTTAACTAAGCCAAGCATGTAAAACCTAACACCTAGCACCCTTCCCTTTGAATTTTCAGGTTAAAAAAGAAACATTTGGGGGTTGCATGAACTTTATGTGATTCTTCCTCATCAGTGTTTGTTCAAGGTCAAATGCCATATTATTAGTAGCATTTATATTTTTTACATCAAATTAATGTTTTTACTTTTGGGGTTGCTGCTGTCTTACATCAGAACACTTTCACAGCTGATTAGGAATAATATGAATATTTTGAACAGTCCAAAGGCTGGATCAGCAGCAGTGAGGTTTGGGGGTCAGCAATGCTCTCAGTGTGGCTCTGCACTGAAGTTGTGGGTTTCTCTCCTCCTCACTTCTCATCTCATCTGCACTGCTCAAGTCTAATTAATCAGCCACTGTGTGGGTGAAGTTATTTCTATACAAATGGTAGGAATACCTGCAAGGGTCTGTTCTTGCCAAGTTACATGAAGCATTACTCCTGCAGAAGCGTGAGCCTGGCTACCTCCCAAATACCTGGACTGAGAAAGAAATAGCAGCATTTGTTATTATTTTTATTACAGAACTGACACACTCAGGCCACTGGGAGAAGAGATAGAGGCAGCACATGAAATATGTTGGGGTTTTAACCTAAGGAAGAGAGATAGAAGTACAGAGAAATTAAAAACAACATTTTTTTTCCTTATCCTACAAAAAGTAGGATATAGTGCAAATGTGGTATCAAGTTTTCCTCACCATCACCCTTAAAATCACAGATTAGTGTGAGCTGAGCAGCCCTGGGCTAACTGGTTCTGTTTGTATCAGGCCTTTTCACATGAGGCCTGTTTATATTCCATTCTCTGGCAATTAGTGTCTGGGGTAAAAGCAGGGGACTCTTTGAACTTTACAGTCACCAGCAGAGGTGGAGCTCCCAGCCCTGCACAAACTCCTCTGTGAAGGTGACAAATGTCACATCCACGCTGACCCTGCCTTGGGAAGGCAGCTCAGCCCTTCGGCCAGGGGACCAAGCTCTCCCTCATAATTACTCGTGGATTTAATGGCAGGTAACATTTTTGATTGAGTAGTGGTAGCCATGAATTGGGGCTGAAACAATAATGTGAGAAATATGAGCTTTAGAGCCAATAGAAATCGATGCAGCTTAGAAAGCTCACACAGAGTGCCAAGGGGGAAATGCAAGCAGAAACCCAACTAAATCCATTGTCATAGATGCAAAACTAATAAGCCTTTCATGGCTGCTGTGCTTCCTCTCAGCTCCGGACCAGAAGTTCTAAACATCACTGAAAAGAATGCAGAAGTTTTTGCATTTTCAGGTAGAGAATGATAAAATAGGCACATTTCAAGTCCATGGCTCATAATGTAAAGCAAAGAACTTCTTAAATTCTTGCAAAGGAGTGCAAAAAATAACTTGGGCCAAGAGTAACTGGAAATGTGGTTCATCTTTCAGCTGCTCTGAATTTCTCACTGCTTTGAGTAAGCCACAAAACTTCCAGGACTAGATAAGCTGGTGACCAGCAGAACCAGGTGAATCACGGCTCCGGAAAAAAGCACTCGCGCAAGGGGCAGCTCCAGTTTCATGCTGCCCATGGAGCTCCTGCTCTTCCTTGCCACAGACTGTTAGTAAACTACTAATATGTGTTGGGGTATTCCTGGGGAAAGCATTCTGTGTCAGTTTAACTTCAAACTCCCACTTGTTTTAGTTCTTCAGCTGCGGTTTCCTTCTCACCGGGGCGGAGCAGCTCCTGCTGCCCGGCTCTGGAGGCAGGGCTTGGGATCCCTGGGCTCGCAGCACGTCCTGGATGTGGTCAGCTGCTTGCCCCTATTGCATTTCAAGTGCAGAGTAAAAGCAGAGCATGACCTAAGACATTTCCATAATTGTTTTCTTTAATCACCCCTAATTCCTCTTTTTCAGAATTAAACCCGTCACAGCCAATGTGTGTGACATACATCATCCCTCCATGACTGGAATCCTAAATATCCTCTTACGATTCCTGCATGATGTATCCTCCTTGGTGGGGATTTCAGAGCCCCTTCACCAGAAATATCTGGAATTCAGAGACCATGAAAAGGTTTCTGAATTTACAGACAGTTGGTTTAGGGAGTGGGCAAAGTAAGTGGCTGTCTGTCTTACAAGAATTACGTAGTGCTAAGGAAGCAAGCTGAGAAAGGAAGATTTACTGTTTGCCAGCAATAGCTCCTGGCAAGAGGAATGAGTCTATTTACAATAACAAACTACAGGAGCCATCCTGGGTCAGACTCAACTTACAGCCAGTTTGCAGCAGCTGTCTGTGGCAGATATCTAAAGAAGAATGGACAATAAGTACATGATAAACACCATTAAAACTCCGCACACAAAACCACCAGAGGCTCTGTGGAGATGGAGGATTTTTCTGCATATTTTTCTAATTGTTTTTTAACACACATAGATTGCAATACCCTGTGCCACCCCCATTTACTGTGAGGTGAAGAAGAAAATAGGATTTCCCTCGTGTCTCTTCACACGTGCAGTGGTTTCATAGCTGTCTGCAGCAGTTTTCTCTTGTGGCTTAGGAACCTGGAGTTCCTCACTCCGTGTATAAACACGAATCCCTACTTGCCTTTCTTTATCTTAACTAATGCATCTTTTTAGATATTAGGGGACAGAAAGTACATATTAGAAACATGGATTATTCAAACTACGTGTTCCCATGGACTTTCACTGTAGATAATCAGGCTTTCTGCTTTCTTTGTTAATCCCAAGAATTCCTAGCATCTGTTTACACTGTCAACTGAGCACTGAGTAACATTTTTGCAGACCTACTTCTATTTTATTGAGGAGCTAAGTATTTAGTAGGTAGGACATTGGGTAGAAAACAGCCTGAAGTCACCCTTGCTAACCCACAGAACACATTTGTCCATACACCTGCAGGACAGAGTCTTCAAAAACTTCCTGTTAACAGCTCTGAAAATCTGGATAAAGTTGTCATAATGTAGATATTTCCATGAAAATGACAGGTGGAGAAGGAAAAGTCTCCCTGGATTGCAAACCTGTAAGAGGAGCAGCCCTGTGATCCTCAGAGGAAACACCCAAGAGGCTTCCAGCACTCAGAGCCACGTGGATGCTTTGCTGAGAAAGGACACTGGGCAGAAACACAGCTTAGAGTGTTCATGGCAATATAAAGTGAAACTTCAGCTGTGCTGCCCTCTTCTGTGTACCAGATAAGAAAAAAGGGACAAGGAATGTTCAATGTATCTTTTTTTACACAAATGCCTTCATTTCTGTGTCCAAACGTGCCTTTGCAAGGTTGAGAATCCCTGCACGTGACATGAGGCTCCTGGTGGGACCTGTGGGGACAGAAGCAAACAGAGCTGCCCATCTGCTTTGGGTGACAAAGCTTGTTCTTGTCCCCCTTGAGGGGAAACTCCATTTTCCTTACATTTCAAGAAATGAAACCTTGAAACAGGGACAAAAAATTACAGGCACAGGGGAGACTTAGGAATCTGAATTGGAAAAGCTTTGTACTTCTTTATAAGCCAGTCCAGAATTTATGGTGTCTTCCTGTGGTGGGTGGAATCCACCCATGGAAAGTGTGTGGGAATTTGGATGTGAGAGATATTATCATTTCTTCCAGGAAAAACTCGGAATTTGTCCAGTTGGAATGTGCTGAGTTTGGCAAATTCCATATTTGCATCACAGCAGTAAAAGGAATCTCTGCTACTTTTGAATGTCACATTTCCACATTTCCTGCTTTGCCTCTGCTGCTGTACAAGACATTCTGGTAAAAACCTTTACAACTCTAATTGTAGAGTTACACTAGAATGAAAAGAATTGTCTTTTTTATTTTTTTGCATTTTAAATTTTCAAATTTCTTTCTGATTCTATTAATGAGAAATTATGTAATTAATATAATCATAATATGCTTCATTATCCACCATTCTCTCAAAAAATATAAAATGGTCAGTGTTTAGGCTCATGATTAAATGCAGAGAGCAAGCACGAGCCTAGACTGAGGTAAGAGAATGGTGTGAAGTGTGTTATATAAAAGGGCTTATGGGCAGTAGACTTGAAAAATATCATCGTGTGAAAGCAAATGCAGATCTTCATTTGAAAGCCAGCTCTAACTGGATAAATCTGAACCAAAACTCCTGTGCTAGAAGTCTGTCAGTCCTAGAGACAAAACTGCAAAATCATGGTGGGGATCAAGGACATCCTGCACCCAAACCAGTTGCAGTGAAGCAGGTAAGAAATCACTTTATTTCCCTGTTCCTCTTCCCAGAGGGAAACCCCCACTTTTAGGGAATATCAGTGTAGTAAATAGGTGTGATTTGTGCTGACAAAATTGAAACAATAATCAATACTGATATAGCAATTAATATTTGGAAATAATAAAACAGTTAAAGGTGTAATGCCAAGAAAGAAAGGTTCTGAACATCTCCTGCAGATGTTCAGAACAGGAAGAAGCAAGAGATAACTATGACTAAATTTAGTTGGAAGAGAGGAGAATTTGGTTGGACACCAGGAAAATGCTAATTATATGAGATTTATTGCTTTAATGTTAGAACACAATATTGGCTTATACTGTAGCAGTTTGGTGTGCATTTGTAATCCAAAAGGTGAATCAAAGGACACTGAGGAAGAGGAGAGGTCTTCATCAGAGACGACCCCAAAGAGTGGCATGGCCCCCTGTGGCTTATACTGTAGCAGCTTGGTGTGCATTTGTAATCCAAAAGGTGAATCAAAGGACACTGAGGAAGAGGAGAGGCCTTCGTCAGAGATGACCCCAAAGAGTGGCATGGCCCCCTAAAAGAGTGGTGGAGCATGCGTGGTAAAGGTGATGATGAGGGCGGTGATACAAGTGTGACGAATCGAAAATGGGGGAGATGGTGATGATGTACAGTATAAAAAGAGGAATTTTGGCTTGACAAGTTTGTACATGAGGTGACAGGGGTCCAAAAGCCCTGCCCTCCGTACCCCACGTGGTTATTTTTGCTTATGCGCTATTATCAGAACCAAATTATTCCTTATTTTAACCAAATTATATTGTCAATATTTCAAGTGTATTCAATTTCATATATATTAAGCTACTTAATTAAAATTGCTGTTACATTTAATTTTGTTTGGGTTTTTTTGATGGGATACAGCAGCATACTGGAGCCTTCAGTGGGGCTTTCACCTCACCTCAGCTCAGCTCAGCTCAGCTCAGCTCACCCGGGCATCCTGAGCTGCCAATCACTGGGAAAGTGACAGGGAGTGATTGCTCAGCTCCCAACTCAGCAAGTCTCAGGCATGAAGCGTTTCCAGTCAGAGGGTTTTTTTGACAGGCACATTACAATGTAAACCTTTGGGCTTCAGGCACTTCATTTCCCAAGTCATCAAAGCTACTTATATTCAGGGAAAGACTCAGTGATCATCCTATTCTCTGGTGCTAATGGAATTCAGCACATTGGTTGCTTTTCATGGCATTTTTCCATGCCACAGTTTTGGAAATGAGATCAGAATCAGGCCTCAACATTCTTTTCCCTCCTCTACACTTACTCACAGCAGTAATTAACATGAACCAGGCAAATGTTGCCTTGGCATCAGACTCTCACATTAAAAACATCATGTGTCAGTCAGTCTCTGCCTGCTCATGTACCCCGGGCCGTGGGGTGAAATGGTCTTTATTCAATAATTAATGTCATGAAAGAATATGACATACACAGTAAATTGCTTTGCTGCAAAGCCTTTCTTTCACACTCAGCCCTTTCTTTCATATCTTTACAAGGGTTATAAATTTTCATCACTGCTCTGTTCAAGCACACAGAATCATTCAGATGAATCTATAGCCTTCTAAGGTAACAGCAGCACGTAGCTAGGCAACAAAAAAGAGTATAGTATTTTTCAGGAAGCAGGATTTTTCTAGGTGATCTCATACAGATGCAGTGCTTTTTTGCCATATAAGAAGAAAATGGTTCATTGGAGAAATGAGTCTGTCTTCCTGGCACCATCAAGCCATGTCAATGTATAGGCTTCCCTTGATTAGCTGTGACAGGAAATAACAATGCATTCTATAGAGTTCCTATTTGTGTCTCCATATCTATTACATATTTGAGAGGTTTTTCTACAAAGACTAAAGCCACAAACGATTTTATGGCAGATTTCATTAACCATCACCCAGATTAAAATGGAATGCTTCAATAATTACCAAGTCAGCTGAAATGAATTGTATCTCAGTTCAGCTGAAACTGTGTCAGCTTAAAAAAAAAAAAGGTTTTATGAATGGAAAAGACATCCTGTTGTAAGAACAGTCCATCACTACATGTAGGGGCAGAGCTGCTGTGGACGTCGTACACTGATTTTTTTTCTCGTGAAGGGGTTTGGTCAAGTGCAAGCGGAAAAACCGATATAATCCAGCAGGATCATGCCTTGGAGCGCGGGGTGAGGGGATGCCAAGGGGGCCGGCAGAGTGCCCGGGCAGTGTCTGTGCCCCGGGGCGCTCCGTGCCCCGCAGGAGCCGCGGGGCCGGGCCGGACCCGCTCCCGCTGCCGCTGCCCGGCCTGCGGCTCCGGCCGGGAGCGCAGCTCCACCTGCCGGGGACCGGCCCGGGGCCATCCCCGTCCTCATTTCCCCATGCCCGTCCTCATTTCCCCATCCCCGACCCATTTCCCCATATTCCTTGTTCTCCACCTGCCGCGGACCGGCCTGCCCGGGGACCATCCCCATTTCCACATGCCCGTCCCCATTTCCCCATCTCCCCATCTCCCCATCCCCATTTCCCCATCCCATCCCCGCCCCCATTTCCTCATCCCCGTTCCCATTTCCCCATCCCTGCCCCCATTTCCCCATCCCCATTTCCCCCCCATCCCCGCCCCATTTCCCCATCCTCCATTTCCCCGTCCCCATTTCCCCGTTTCCCCGTCCCCATTTCCCCGTTTCCCCGTCCCCATTTCCCCGTTTCCCCGTCCCCATTTCCCCGTTTCCCCGTCCCCATTTCCCCGTTTCCCCGTCCCCATTTCCCCGTTTCCCCGTCCCCATTTCCCCGTTTCCCCGTCCCCATTTCCCCGTTTCCCCGTCCCCATTTCCCCGTTTCCCCGTCCCCATTTCCCCGTTTCCCCGTCCCCATTTCCCCGTTTCCCCGTCCCCATTTCCCCGTTTCCCCGTCCCCATTTCCCCGTTTCCCCGTCCCCATTTCCCCGTTTCCCCGTCCCCATTTCCCCGTTTCCCCGTCCCCATTTCCCCGTTTCCCCGTCCCCATTTCCCCGTTTCCCCGTCCCCATTTCCCCGTTTCCCCGTCCCCATTTCCCCGTTTCCCCGTCCCCATTTCCCCGTTTCCCCGTCCCCATTTCCCCACCCCCGTTCCCGTTTCCCCGTTCCCGTTTCCCGGCCCCCATTCCCACACTCCCTGCCCTCGGCTGGCCGGCTGTTCGCTGTGCGGTGCCGAGCGGGGTTTGCGGCTGGCCCAGACCCCATCCCGGGCGCTCCTCCTGCTGCCTGCGGCTGGTGGGGCGGTCACACCACAGCCCACAGCCCTCCTCTCCCGGGCATCTTGTGTTATTTGTGTATCCCAGAGCCCGCTCTGTGGGCTGGTTTCGTTCCTCCCGGCTGGACCGAGGCGCGGTTTGAGTCCCGCCCGTCCTGTCGGAGCAGGGCTTGCCAGGGAGCCACGCCAGCCGCAGGGAAAACACAATTCCTCTGGAGCAGGGAAAGAAAGGCTCGAGCGGGACTGAGCGGCTGAAGCCCGCAGGGCAGCAGAATGTCAGATAAAGGGGCACCGGCTTCATAACGCTCCCAGCAAAATTCCTGCAGTTTTAAGGATTAGCAGAATATATTGCAAGAGCTAATCCAATATGATGCGTTACCTGATGTGTACAGAATCGGCATCTAAGCTGCAGTGTTTATTTATTCAGCCACAAAATGCAGAGAACCAGCGAATTGTGTGACTTGGTAACTGCACAGGGACTTCTCCTGTGCAGCCCAGTGCTTAAACTACAGGTGAACTGAACTGTGTGCACCCAAAGGACACGTGCACTTAAAGGGAGGCAGGTATGGCTGAAATTAAAGTTGATACAATGTTTGAAAAAACAAATTCACTCTCTTGGTTTACTAGGAATGGCCCAATATTGTCCTTACCAACAAAGATAAATGTGACAAAACTTCATCACTTCTATGCTAAAAATATAATCCAGAGTATGACCTCAGTTAAAGGTCTTAAATTTTCAGGATCAGACCTAAAACGGTAAGTGGAAAGGGGAAGAAATGTTTTCAACAACAGCTCCTGTTTCAGGCACCTAGTCAATTTTGTCATTAGTAAGAAGCATTACTAAAGAATTTGACAGGCTCTTTACAATGTTGACTTATGTTTCAAAAAACCCAATGCATAAATGTGTTGTTATGAAAATAAGTCAGTACAAATTTGAAGAGAAACAGTTTATGTGACTCAGTCCTAATTCTCTTCTTTCTGCCTTAAAAGAAATTGCTTGGTTGCTTTTGGGGGTTTTTTTGTTGTTGTTTTTTTTTTTTTAAGTTGGCTGTAGTGTTAGTGAAACCATTTTCTGATTTTCAGCAATAAAAACTAGTTTTGTTGTATTCAAACTGTTAGGGAAAAAGAATGGAATCTATTGGCATTGATTGTTTTTCTCTGCAATCATTTCAGATTACGTGGATGACTTATTTCCCCCTTTGCAGGGGAAATAAAAAGTATTTTGCTGCTTAGACACCTTCATCATCCTCAGGCAGAGCATGTGCCATCTCTCCCATAAGCAAAGTGGGGAAATCAAGCTTTAAGGGTTAAGCAAGCTCCTGGTGACCTCCTGAGGGTATTTCAGTCAAAGCAGCGTGTGGCACATCTGATGAGAACGCAGATGGAGCCAATTTGGGTAGATTAGGGGGAAAAAGTGCTATAACAAACCAAGTTACCCCAAAATGCTGGGGGGTCAGCTCAGAGGGGTGGCAGGGATGCCTCGCTGGCAGCTTAGGTCCTGCTCAGCTCAGCAGGGACACAGCTGTGCCCAAACCACTGCACTTCCAGCTGGCCTGCGGGCTCTTTGTCAGCCTAAAACACGGGGTTATGGGGTTATGGGGGTTATCGGGGCTGTGCTGATCCTCCTGCTGGCTGTGAGCCACCCGCAGCGGGCAGCAATGCCCTGCAGCAGCACAGGGCACCGGGGTGGGCCAGGCTCACTCAGGAGGAGGAGGGCAGAGGGCAGGGAGCTGCTCAGCACGAGGTGGTGGCACCTCGCTTTTCGCAAGGACAGAGCCCCGTGGGAGGGCAGGGGCAGCACAGGGAGCTGGGGCACATCCCTGCCACCTCTCCCTCTCTTCCCAAGGTCCCTGGCAGCAGCTGCTCCTTATTCCCAGATCATATTTTTTCCCACAGATTTAGTGGAAATTAACTTCTGGCCTGTTCTTTCCCTCCTGTGCTGCTCTGGAAGCTGAGGCACAGCAGGAAGCAGAGCCTGTCTCTGTTCAGAGCCTGTTCTCCTGTTCAGGACCTTGCTGAATGAAGGGTGCAAGTGCTGCAGTGAGAGACCTGAGCAGTGGTGGAATGAGACTGGGGGAGCAGGGCTTCATCCATCCTAAGAACCAGGACGTCTTCATCACTGCAGACAGTGCTGTTCCTTAGAGCCGCAAAAGAAAAGTTAAGGACTGGAGATAACCTGTGTCTGGCAGGATGCAAAAGCTCTTTAGAGGTAGGACATAATAAATGTATGAGTTGATAATAAGACATAGGTAAAAAGGTCTCAGAGTGTGACAGAATGTCTTCTGCAGCCACTGAAGTGTGTTGGACAAAATGAGGGCTCTCTGCTATTTGTGCATGTTGTAAAAATGCCCTGTATTTTTAGCATTTTGTGGAATGAAAATTTTATGCGCTATTAAATGTTGCTGGCGAATGGCTGTGAGACCAGCAAACTCAAACACACCTCAACTTTCCCTACTTTGATTCTCTTTGCTGTTACTTAGTAACATCAGAGAGATTTTTACTACAAACTTTCCTTTTGCCTACGGAAAAACGTTGACTCTGCCACTTCTTCAGTCTGTATTTATGCCAAAGAGCACATTTGGTAAAGGAAGGCAAAGTGGTCTAATTCTCTGCTTGACAAGCCAAAGGGAAATGATTTTAACAGCTATAAAAAACCCTGTAAAACACAGAGTTTATAAATCAAAGCTCCAGAGAGAGATCTTTACCAAAGCCCTCTATTGACGCAGACACATCACTCTTGAGCGCGGCCAGAATACTGAAATAGCTTTTATTAATTCCCATTTCCAGCGTGTGGCACACCCTGCTCCACCCCGGGGCCACAAACAATAACGCCACACAAGGCTGAAGCTGTTCCACGGACAGTTCAGCTGCAGCTTTGCACAGAAAGCTGCTGAGCTGCTCCCCTGCCGCTGCTGCACGGGGCTGCACGGGGCTGCAGCAGGCTCAGACACTGCAGGGGCTGCAGGGACACGGGGCAGCAGTGGGGGAGCCTGCCCCACCCGAGGGGCTGCCTCCCCCTGCGGGCTCAAACACACTCCAGAGCAGGGACAGCACAGACAGCTGCCCTGGGAGCACACCGGGAGAGGGGAATGCCATCCAGCTGTCCTGGGAGCACACTGGGAGTGGGGAATGCCATCCAGCTGCCCTGGGAGCACACTGGGAATGCCATCCAGCTGCCCTGGGAGCACACAGGGAGAGGGGAATGCCATCCAGCTATCCTGGGAGCACACCAGGAGTGGGGAATGCCATCCAGCTGTCCTGGGAGCACACCGGGAGTGGGGAATGCCATCCAGCTGTCCTGGGAGCACACTGGGAGTGGGGAATGCCATCCAGCTGCCCTGGGAGCACACAGGGAGAGGGGAATGCCATCCAGCTATCCTGGGAGCACACCAGGAGAGGGGAATGCCATCCAGCTGTCCTGGGAGCATGCCCTGATTGAGGAATACCATCCAGCTGCCCTGGCAGCTCCTGCCTGCACACTGGGAATGGGGAATGCCATCCAGCCACCGCTGGAAGTCTCTGCCCAGAGCTCAGGAGTGCAAAGCAGATGTCTTCTCCTGGCATTTTTCCTGGACTTGAATGAGGCTGTTTGTATTCAACACAGCTGCTCCAAAGGGTCATAGCTTCTCATGGAATATGTCCTATTACAAAGCATTCCAGAGGCTAAATTTAGGGGTGGAGTTTTGGAATAATAAACATCTGAAAAGAAATATTTCTAACAAATTACTGTTTTCTTCTCTCACTTTGTCTCCACACAACAGGAACCAGCTAATGATCTTCAAAAGCAGGATGGAAGGTTTCCACCAGAACTGGTGGTACATGATCAGCAAGTACAGAGCTGAAGGAGCCTGGACAGGAGGGCCTGGGGCCTTCAGCAAAGCCACTGTGGCTGGTTCTGTGATGAATACAGCACCCACATCACTTAAGCAAACACACCAGATCTAAAGTAACCAGATTCTCCATCCCTAAATAGCAGAAGTCAGACCTCTGCTTTGAAAACCTTTTGCAGATCCCTCTTACTGAAAAGTCAACTATAAATGTGAGCCATCAAACACCTTCTGTTGCTTCTCTGAGAAGGCAAATGGTCCAAAGTGCCTCCCCAGGGCTGCTGTGCACAGTGTGCTTCACGAGGCAAGTGCCAACATCCCAATAAATTATTTAACACTAGCATTATGTAGTGGTGAAAGCCAAGCAGAGAGCTTCAGCAAAGCCATTACTGACCCCTTCTCTGTTTGGAGTGCAGGTTGAAGCAATCTGTTGGCAGCTTAGTCATCCTCCCGTTTTCCCCCTGGCACATACTTGTATTTCTTTCTTCTCCCAAATCTGGGGACAAAATTTATTTGCTTTTTAAAAAGCCACCAAAAACCAGAAAACAAAATCCAACCACCCAAGTGTGGTGCCCAGGAGCTGCCTGCATGCATCACCATGGCTGGAGTTTCATCTGTGCTGCAAATGCTGGCAATGTCAGAACTAATCAGCTCAGTGATTCAACAAGAGAGGCAGAGCAAAGCTGGGTCATTCTGTTCCTTGCCCAACATTAATATTGCATAAATACTGTCCTTATTTGCAGTTTCATTCATACATCCCAGCAGTGCTGCCCATTCAAAGGCTGCTGAGCCACATGAGCAGGCTGAGCTGCTGCAGTTGCCTTTTTGCAGCCCTGTGCAGAGGGAGGCTCAGCTCTGACCTGCCAAGGTCTGGCTTTGTTCCTCCCTGTGTGACTTTGGACGTCACACTTGGAGCACTGGACTGGACTGCCAGGCTGAGCTTTGCACAATGTCCATAAGCTTCACCCTTTTCACACAGCATCTGAGACCCGCCCAGGGAAAATGCTGCTGGAGCACAAAGCACTGCCATCAAACTGGTGAGCACAGCCTACATTTCTAGAAGGAGTATTTCTTATTTGCCAGATGACTGATGGCAAAGAAGGCAACACTGTAATGGGTACAGTACCAACATACCTAGCAGGAGTTCTCAGCAGGTTGTTATTTTTCCATGTGGTCCAGGACTAGAAACATCCTTCACAAAAATTCAAATTAATTCTTAATGAGTTCTTCTATTGCCAAAGTCTCCCAAAGACAACAGTTTAGTGAATGCCTGTTCCCAAACCAGAAGCATAGGCTGGGTTTTAGCATTAAATCTCAAGGCATTTAGAGCAAAACCTGTCCTTTAGCTGTCAAACACTGCCAGGACAGTCCTTCAGCAGAGCCCGCTGGGCTGTGCATATTGAGAACTGGTATATGCAATATAACTGGTATACATGCAATACTCCTGTATTGCAGGTGAACAAATAAAACCTCCTTCAAAGATACTGTATTTCCTACCACAATTAAGTAGTAATTAAAAATAAATCATGCTTTACACAGGTTTAAAGAGACCTCCATATTTGGCTTTAAGCTAAGATAATTAAAACCAGACGTGATTTGGAAGTGTGGACACTTACTGCTAAATGTCCTCCAGCTCTGCACACACCAGCTTGTACAACTTGTGATGTCTGAAAGCAAAACTGTATTAACAGTCTGAAACTGTCACAGGAATGTAAAGATTTTAACTAAAAGTTACGCTGGTGTACTTGTGAAGTCCAGTGTGCAAAAGGCACTTCTAAAATGAAGCTTACAGCTTATTTTTAGAAGTGAGAAACCAGTTAAAAACAGGTTGAAAAAATATTTTTAATGGAAAATTGTACCTATGCAATGACTCATATAATCAAAAAGCCAATTTTTATTATGTTTTTGTATCTGTCTGTAAGCTGACTCCCCACACAGTATTTTTTTAAAAAGCAAAGAAACATTTCCTCAAGAGAATTTAAGTGATTTTATTTTGCTCACAGTTTTATGCAAGTTGTAACACCACCACTTATATACAAAATTAGTTCAGTAGATCAGAACACCAATGATTTCCTCACCAGGCAATCACGACCGAGCAGACAAACACTGATTCACCACTTCCAGCAGGTGAGAGTTTTCCAAAGCAGCTGCCACACGTTCCTTATCAGCGAGCTGTTTGTTGACTGCAGCACAAACCCACAGGAAGCCATCAGGGCAGCAGCACTGTGCTCAGGCTGAGCTCACCAGCCCCGCTGCAGGGTGGGGTGCCCAGGGCACCGGGGCTGCTGTCCCTGCGCAGAGCCCGGCACAGCAGCCCTGCAGCAGCTGCTGCACAGGGCTGACACGAGAAATCCCCGGCTCCTCCCTCTGCCCAGTGCTCGGGGAAATCACCAGTGACTGCCGAGAGCACAGGCTGCCCGAGATGCCTGAAGAGTTATTACTCTGTTATATACACTGCCCCTTGCCGAGAGCACAGGCTGCCCGAGATGCCTGAAGAGTTATTACTCTGTTATATACATATATATAGATATATATATATAGATATATCTAAGTGCAATCTAAGTGACACTGCGTGCTCCTGCTGTGGAACTCCCCCCACAGTCTGACACACACAAAGTCCCAGCTGCTCTGCAGCTGTGGGAATCTCCCTCCTCGCTAATTTTCCAAGATCAAAACAAATATGAAGACCACACAAGAGAGGACTAAAGGCCTTACCTGCGTGCTCAGAGGCATGTGTTCCTGGCGTTATATGAACATCCAGCTGAAACAAAAGAAACAGGGGATGAGTTCAACAAACACTGGCAGATTAAGTTCAAACTAACAAAAATAAGGTAGTAACAAAGAGAAGGGAGAAAGGACATTCTTGCCACTGTCAGTTACTCCATATAACAGAATAAAACAGAAGTCTAAAATTGCAGAGTGTTCTGCGTTTGCAGGTGCTTAAGCCTGCTCCAGACAAGGGTGAGAGCTGCTCTCCTGCCGTGCCACAGAGCAGTGCAGGGACTCCCCTCAGAACCCCCTGGCCCATGACAACAGCCCCAGAACCACAACCACCCCCAGAACCGTGCGCTGGTATTTCACCCACCGCCCTCTGCCTCCTGCACTGTCCCTCACACCAAAAAAATGAAAAAAGCTCTAGGTATTTTCCACTGCAAGCTCATTAGCTCTTTTTTTTTTTAATTTTTCCAAACACAACCCCCCACTTTTGCTCTGATCCCCACCTTGAACCTCTCGGGCAGAGAGCGGAGCAGCTTGACCTTGATGGAGAGGCCGATGAGGGTGGCCATGCTGCAGTGCGGGATGGTGGGGGTGAACTCCACCGACACCGTGCTCTCGGCATCGTTCACCTGCGGGGACACAGCCGCTCACACCCGAACCCCCGAGCCGGGCAGGGCGCGCTCACCGACACCCGGCAGTGCTGCGCTTAAACATACACTGAATGCGGTTAAACACCATTAACTATTAGTATATAAACCTCATATTAAATATACATACTAGAGTATAAACTATATTGTTTAGATCGTTATTGAAATGGTAACTATTCTAAAGGCCCGGGGCGGGCCCGGCTCCTCGTTTGCAGCCCGGGCCCTGTCGGGCTTCCCCGGCTTGCCCGCATCGGCCGCAGCGCCCGGCTGGCAGCGAGTGGAGTCGGCGGCGCAGTGTCCGCCCGCGCTGGGCCCGGCGCTGCCAGGGATGCTCCGATGCAATTGTTTACCTCGCCTCTTCCCTGCTTTGAAAAGTCAAACAAAAGAACCCCAGACAAATTTAAACCGGAGTGGTAGAGTGTAGCGATGACGTGCTTTGGCTTCATACATCCCTCTAAAAGAGGATTAAGGCAAGAATTAAGTATTTTGATTTGGTTTTCTTCTTTGCTTATTGTTACTTTCTAGTTATTTGTAATCTAGTCCCCGTTGTTGGCGGGGGGAGGCGGGTTAGGGGTTTTTGTTGCTTTGTTTTGCTTGTCGTGGTGTTTTGCTGATATTTTTGTTGTTTTAAGCGGGTGTTAAAGAACTTTACGGTATTTAAGCGCTGCAGTCTGTTCAGACTTGCCGTGTTTTCTCTGCCGGTGGCGCTGGGCACTGCCGGCCCGGGCCAGGCACTCACTCCTTGCCGGGGCCGTGTCGGTGATCGGGGCTGTATCGGTAATCATGGGCTGTATCGATGATCAGGGGCTGTATCAGTGATCGGGGCCGTATCAATAATCAGGGGCAGTTTCGGCTCTCGGGGCTGTATCGATAACCAGGGGCTGTATCGATAACCAGGGGCTATATCGATAACCAGGGGCTGTATCGATAATCAGGGGCTGTGTCGGCTCTCGGGGCTGTATCGATAATCAGGAGCTGTATCGATAACCAGGGGCTATATCGATAACCAGGGGCTGTATCGATAACCAGGGGCTATATCGATAACCAGGGGCTGTGTCGATAACCAGGGGCTGTGTCAGGCTCCCGTCTGCCCCTGGCGCTCCGCAGCGCTGGCTGCAGCTCGCGCTCCCTGTCCCGCGCTCCGTGTCCCGGCTGCCCTCGCCGGGACCTTTGTCCTCTTCTGTTCCGCATAAAAGCGGAGAGAGTCCCGGGAGCCCGACCGGGGCTGAAAATGTCTCCTGCGAGCCCCATCGCGTCGCTTTGCGCCGTGTTTTGTCTGGTGGCGTTCCTCGTGTGCGGGGCAGAAGGTGAGCCCCGCGAGCTGCTGCTGTTCTTGCTGCTGGGGAAGCCACTGCACCAAGTTCCAGTGACTTTTACAAGGGCAGTAAATCTCTTCTGCTGTGATTACCAATCTGCAAAAATGCCTTCAGGATGCAAAAATTACTGGTTTTGTGAGATGAAACTGGTTTTGAGATGATTGAATGAATGTAAAGCTTTCTGTCTTTTTTAAAACAAAGGTAGAAAGCAGCAACATTTCTGAATTCTCTAAACAAAATATTTTTAGGATCTTGTTGAATGATAAATTTAAAAATGTTAATGGTTTTGCTGTTTGCTCTGAAATTTGCTCTTGCACGGTGACAAAATCCTGCCCTACCTGGCTCCAGGTGACACTGGCAGGAGGGTGTGTCACCCCACCAAAGCAAAATGAAGACTGAACAAAATTGAAAGGAATAATCTGAAATGTTCTAAATTAAACAGTCAGTTAAAAGTACTTAACGGAAAAGTCTGTGTGATAATTATGAATTATAATGCATATATGCAATTTAAATTAATTTCATTTAATTGCAATTCAATTTAATTTTTTTTTATCTTTTGTGTTATTTAGGACAGAGCAGTGCTCAGCCAGAAGTGACTATTGCACTCGGACGGCTCAAAGGAACACAGACAAATGTGAAGGGGACAGACAAGCTTGTAAATGTTTTCCTTGGAATTCCTTTTGCAAAAGCCCCTCTTGGATCCTTGAGGTTTTCTCCACCTGAACCACCTGAACCCTGGACTGGAGTGAGAGATGCAACCTCTTACCCACCACTGTGAGAGCTGTTCATTTGTGGTCAGAACCTGCCCGTGCTGGGCAGAGTTGTGTTTGTTGGGGTGCACAGGCCTGCTTCTGCTAGGAGCTGATAGTTGGTGGTGGATACACTGCCAGTGTTTCTAGCACAGGTGCTTTTACAGGCTGCACCTCTCGCTGATTATAGATAAGATAAAAGTCAAGCACCCTGTGGGGATTCAGCTGGGGTAAAAGAAGTCTTCTCTACCATTGTTAACTTGATGCTGTTACAGGTTTAGTACTAATAATTGTGCTTTATTGTTTGTTTTTGTTTGTTTTTGTGAAGCTGTCCTCAAGATTTGTCCCTGTTGAAAACAGCTGAAAAAAACTTTAAAGAAAAGCACATTGCATTCCAAACTTCTGAGGACTGTTTGTATCTCAGTGTTTACAGCCCTGCTGGCTCAAGCAAGAAGGACAAGTTACCTGTATGTAAACCACTGAACAAGTATTTTATAAAGCTTGCAAGTAATGATTTCTCCTAAGAGACTTAACTGCTTTTGAAAATGTGATGCTGCACAAGCAGAAATAATACTAGCATGTAAATTCCAAGACCACCAATCTGAAATTCAGCAGCCATCATGCTTCGGTGATTTGGTATTCCTAATTCTCTGATGTTGTTTTCTTTTTTCAAGTGAAATCTGCAAACCAGTGCATAAAGGTGTGTCTCACCCTTTTGTTTCCAAGGTAATGGTGTGGATCCATGGAGGCAATTTTATATTTGGTGGTGCTGCTCGGTATGATGGCTCTGCACTGTCAGCCTACGAGAATGTTGTGGTGGTATTAATTCAGTACAGACTGGGACTCCTTGGATACTTCAAGTAAGAACACCTATTTCACTTGATAAAAAGTACTTGCTGTCATGTTTAAAGCATGGGTAGTTCTGTTTGCCAAATGTGCTGAACTTCTATATCAGCTTCCCACTGTTAGAGTGGTTTAAATGTACGTAATTCACTGACCTCAGGACTTCAGAACACCCAGAAATGTCTGTACATTCCATCTGCATGGTGATTGCAGCCTGCTATCAGATCATAGCTGGGCTTGTTTGGTGCTGGAGAGGATGTTTGTTCTGGCCTTTGCTTCCATCCTCTGCTGTGTAAAGCAAAAACTCAGGCAGAGTAAAGGCCAGGGATCTACCTGAGCAGGGAACGGAGGGAGTCAGGGGCTGAGGTGTGCCCTGAGGGGCTGTGGGTCACTTTGCAGCAAGCACAGAGAGCTGGGATGGCCTCTGCTGTGCTGCTGTCGCTGTCACTGAGGAGTGGCTCTGCTGCTTTCCTTCCAGCACCGGTGACGAGCACGCCCGTGGGAACTGGGCGTACCTGGACCAAGTCGCTGCCCTTCGGTGGGTGCAAGGAAATATTGAGCACTTTGGTGGAGACCCGGCTTCTGTCACCCTCTTTGGGATATCTGCGGGATCTTGCTCTGTTTTTGCACATGTAGGTATATAGTACTTAAAAATAAAAATCTTCAAAAGCTCAATTAATGTTACAAATCACGCTTAATCTGGTTTTTGACAGTAAGTTTAACAGCACATTGGGAGATTCACTAAATCTGGAGATTTAGCAAATAAAGATGTATAACTACCAACTGAATCCAGGACTTAATAGACTATAACTAGCATAAAGTTGTAAGGTAAGGATGTTAATGTAGAATAAATACTTTTTGTTCTTCCCTTCTTGGCAGGTGTTATCTCCTTTATCTAAGGGTCTCTTTCATAAAGCAATATCAGAGAGTGGAATTATAATTCCCCCCAGTAAAGGCTTACATCTTTCCACAGATCTTGAGGTAAGCTCATTTTTTTGCAAAGTCTTTGTAGCCTAAAATAAGCTTTTTTCTATGGATAGAAAGATACTAAATATCTATATAGGCTATATAAAGGATATATATGGATATCTAAAGGACACTTCTATGTGATAATTTGTTTAAAAGAGAAAAGGGGGAAATGTCGTTGTATACTGTGTAACAAAATTGATCCAGTTTATTGTTGCAGCACGCCTGTTGAATTTCGGTCTGTTTGGTGTTAGAAATAGATTGGACAGCTGTATGATTGTAACAGCTGTGGGCTGACAAAGGCATTTCAGTCACACACATGCCAAGCTAGGCAAATGTCCATTTCTATACCCACTGTACTTGATACAGTAACTGTGGCATTTATTATGGAAAGTTTGACAAGAATCCAGAAGAAGTCAGTTTTTTATTGACCTACAGTCTTTTAGGGAGGGCCTTTATCAGAAGTAAATTAATTACATATAAAACAACAAAAAACCCCCGAACTTAAAATAAAATCACTTTCTATAAGTGCCTTTTAATATCTTTTCCTGTAATGGCAGACAACAATAATGTAAATGTTTCTGAATTTTCTTTCCTTATTTGGTCTATGCTACAAGCTTGTATTATCTCTACAGCAAAGTCTGAAAAAACAGTGAATGGAAATACAGCAAGAAAGAAGTACACCAGAATGATTTCACTTTATTATCAAACTGTAGCATTTCTAGTAAAATAAAATACTCAAAGATCTATCAAGCACACTTAAATCTTCCACTAACAAGCTCTTAACAGCAGCATGTATAATGATTTTATAACAGTGCTTATCTTTGTTGATAATTTTCAGAAAATTGCCAGCATTTTCAAGTGTGAGACAAGCAGCTCCCTCTCTCTGCTGAACTGCTTGAGGAAGCAGGAAGCAGAGCACATAGTCCTTAACAGCAAGGTAGGTGAGACTTCATGGCAACAGAGCTTTTTAATGGCTCACGTGCAAAGCTTTAGCTCAGCCTCTGATCAGAGTTCATTGATGGTCTGTTCCAAAGCTGATTTTGCTTATCTTTTGTCAAAATACTTCCTAAATGTTGAAGTAATTTCACACGTCAGTTCTTTCTGGAAGTTTGGCAGTGTCACAGCACCTGTGAAGTGGTGAGCAAGGTCTGAGCATCCCTGTCCTTTAATGTCAGAACAGCACAGAGTCAGGAACCCACTACATTCCTCTATGCCTTGACCAGCCAGGCCTGCATTTTATACTCCTGTGCCAAACTAAATTTATGTTACAGTGGCTGTAGACACTTGAATTTCTTAAAGCCCTTTTTTGCACTTAGCACATTTAATGAGGACATTTACATGATTTGAAGGAAAAAATTGGAAATACTATTAACAACTAATTTGATCTTTTTTTTTTCCTCTTCCTTCAGGAAATCTCATTTCTACCCTTAGTTTTGGATGGAGTGTTTCTTCATAAGCCACCTGAGGAGATATTGGCTGCAAAAGAATTCAATGCAGTCCCGTTCATGATAGGAGTCACCAACCATGAATTTGGCTGGAATATTAGATCGGTGATTTCATGTCTATTCTTTATTTTTAATGTGTTTTTAATGTTTGTGTTAAGTGATAGGACAAGTCTTTGTAGTGATGGAAATACATACAAGGTAAACATTACTTGCATCATGGCTCTGCAGTGACCCAGAACCACTGGATCACAAGGATAAGAGAGGCTTCATCCCGCAAGTTAAACTGCATGGACACGTCAGCTGGAGCATCAGTTTTGTACAGTTTTCTTATGCTACAATTTTAATCCCTCATCCAAGCAGAGAGAGGAAGAAGAATGTAACAATCAAGGTCTTATTCCTGAAAGACAAGTAAAGCCAATCCTTTCCCCACAAGGCTCAGTAGTCAGGGTTGGTACCTCTTGTG